AAACGGATTGAAAACATGGGAGGGACCCCGCCAAGTCTTTAACAAATGTCGCGCGTTGTACTTGGGACGATTGGGAAAGTCTAGCCGATTTCTTGAAAGTCCTAGAACATCCGAAATACGTTATTCCGGAATAGCACATGTTAGCACTCACGAACATGCTCACACCGAAAGATTAAAACATGATTTCCCATATGTTCTCTCGTTCGTTTCCTATGCAGCTTCGAAATTGAATATAAAGCTCTATAGCTTCACATGTCGAGCGGGATCCGAATTCATTTCTCTTAAAACCACTGTTGAGACTGATTTTCTGCTTCTCAAGCGTTGTCCAAGGAAGAATTGTTGAGTGTTGAGTAGTATCTGCTATTGTATTAAACGATAGTCGTGGTTAATGTATTTATATTCTACGTTTGCCGCAACGTTTTAAACCAATTCTAGTTAGTCTAAACTCATTCAGGACCGTTTGAAACTCACCAACAGCAACCAGTACAGTGGATGCAATTGTGACGATGCCAATAACGTAGAGGGTCAAGTGATGATGAGTTCTTCTGAAAAAAAAAACAGAAAAATGTCCAATTCACAAATCGCGTGCTGTTGACCACCTGCGTCCTATCAGAGTGGTGGCAAATTTAAAGTGAACAAGGAATCCATGAGGGGGACGTAGGGCGTACAAGGATGTGGATAGAACGAGTAAATTGACATAAATGAAATTGGAATGTGCACTCAACACATTCCACGCCGATGGCCGCCCATATGGGCTGCCAAGCATGTGCTCCTGGGACGATGGCAGCCCATATGGGCTGCCAGCTGATAATCGCTTGCCAGGCGCTAGGAATGGACAGATAGGTGGGCAAACCTCGTAATCGAGTGTAAAATGCTTTTAAATTCCTTCACGGGGAAAGTGAATAAATGCTCTCTTTTCGTAACCACTATTCGTCGTTCTGATCGAAATCCTACTGTTATATGTTTAGATAATCTTTACGCATTGGACATTGCAGAAATTATTTTGTGACATTCATGTTTTTGTTCATTTACAAACAAAATCTGCGGTTAGGTGAGGCCCACAAAATCGCGTCCGTCCCACGCGACCGAAAGTGTAAAAGGGGCGCCGTCGTGAATGTGTTAACACTTCGTCGCTGGGGGGTCAGAGGGAGCAGCGCGCCACGCCGCTAGCTATCCCTCTTTTAAAAAACAGTAACACGTACAAACTACCACATCCTCTCCGAAACGGATTGAAAACATCTTCCCAGAGACCCCACCTAAATCTTTAGCAAATTTTGCACGTTGTACTTAAGATGGCGAAAAAGTCTTGAGCCAATTTTTTTGAAAGCTCTAGAACCTCCGATGAATGATTGGTACCCATGATTTGCCTGTACTGTTGTTTCACGAGGCGAATCATTACTGTCGATCACACTTCTCCACAATAGGTATATGTGGCCGGGTTGCTCTCCTGAACTTCACGATATCAGTTCCACAAGAGCGCCCTCGTGCGATTATCTTCTATGAATGGTGTCGCGGCACAGGAGCAACGCAAAGCATCCGTAAGGCTGCTTTCATAGTTCGCATCGGTGCGGTCGGTGCCGACGGTGCCGACGGCGCCGACCGCACCGACAGTGTGAAGAGCGTCAATACGCGCTCTGGCGCATGACGCGAACGTTGGGCGCAGATCGCGTGCTCCGATCGATAATCCTGGTTTTGGTGTATTTCTTGTGCTTTTCGATGTTTTTTTTCGCGCCGTGTTGCTTTAATTCGTGTGTTTCCTGTTCATACTTATTCTTTTATGGGCGCAATGTGGCTCGGGGGGGGGGAAGTCGGTGCGCGGCTCAGCGATGTAGTGTAACTCGAACATTCCAGCTTTTCACGGGACATTTCAGCTTCTCACGCATGCTAAGTGACTGCCCTCACCCCCCCCCCCTGAATTGGCTACACTCCCCCTGGCTTGCGAATTTCCTGTTGCCGCAACGCCCCGCGCGGCGGCTGCCCCCCCCTCCGAGCCACATTGCGCCCTTTTATGTCTTGATTAATACTTTCCAGTTGTTCCGCGGGCGAGCGACGTCGTGAACCCGTCGCACAACTCCGGGTGGATGTGGCCATACCGGGTGTGTTGGTCGTAAGCAATTTTGTTTATTCATATGAAGTGAGTGCAAAAAACATCGAAAAAATACAAGAAATACACCAAAACCAAGATTATCGACCGGAGCGCCCCATCTGCGCCCAGCGCACGCGTCATGCGCCAGAGCGCGTGTTGACGCTCTTCACACTGTCGGTGCGGTCGGCGCCGTCGGCACCGTCGGCACCGACCGCACCGATGCGAACTATGAAAGCAGCCTAACATCAGCAGCGCAGTGGGAGGGGACCACTTCCATCAGCTGTGCCAAGCTCTGTTCGCAGGCTTAAAAGGAGACACGGCTTTCGAAACAAGTCAAGGTTGGGAAGCCCCCAAACAGTGGAAGACTCCACCGTTCTCGGCGCTGTCGAAGAGGATCCGGAGGTTAGCACCCGCAGCCTTGTGATAAGACTCGGGTGCACCCATCCCACAGTCCTCGGTCCCCTCCACGCCCTCGCCACAGGAAAGTGCTGACTTGTCCCTTGTCTTGACCGATAGCACGCGGCCACCCGGGCATTCATTTGTCAGCGTCTCTTTTCCCGATCCTCATCAAAGAAGGTTCTGGAAGTCGGTTACGGGAGATGAAAGTTGGGTCCTCCATGATTCTAGCAACCACCGTGCCGTGTGGCTCCCTTGGCTTGAAAGACCCGCCGACGTAAGCAAAATCGGACCTTCACCCCAAAAGCTTCTTCCTTTGCTGCCTCTGGGATTCGTGAGGAATGTTGTATTATGAGCTGCTCCCGCAAGACATACCGCTACCGGCAGCATTTACGCCAGTCAGCTCCAGAAACTAGCGGACGCTGTTCAAGAAAAACGACCGAGACGAACTTCTGTCCACCTACTCCACGATGACGCCAGGCCCCACATAGCTAAAGAGACCCGTGCAAAATTAGAAGAGCCGGACTGGGACACGGTTCCCCACCCGATTGCAACGGTACAGATGAAAAAATAGTACTGATCTACAGCCTGCTCTTTAACTTCTTCACACTCCGTTCCAGTAGCATTTCTGTTTTGTACAGAAAACTAACTTCTGACGCTACATTTTGCATGGCGGCCTCAAACAAGTGTGGCTAGTTACTGTAGGCGTAGCTCTAGAGCAAGACACAGGAGCATAGTGAACACTGAGTGCACCTTCGCTCAATGAAGCTTCCGGTGTCCGATGTGCTGCCGAGAAACACAAGTACTTCGAGTTATGTAAAGCAACTTTTTTACGTAACAACACGTTCAATCTCAGCTCTGCAGATGCAGAATGTAACGACAATATGAGCCTTAGCCAGAAGGACTAACTGACGCACCATCGGTACTTAGTACTCATGCGAGACGCCTATGCGGTGGCGTGTGAGATTCAAAAATGGTGTGGAAATCAACAGAGAGGTAAGGGAATGAAGTCTCCTATAAACTCCCATCTCCTACATATACTGATTCTGAATCGGCAACGCACCTGAGCTTTGCTTGACGACAGGATCGAGCTCTGGAAAAATCAATATTAGTGAAATGCAATTTAGAAGCAATATTGAAAACAATCTAACCTTTCAACCTGAACACGGTAGAGCAGTTATCGGAAGCACAGAATTTAAAGGTCCATTTGTCACCTTGGAATAACTTTTCTTTTATTATGGACGAATTAAATAACAGCCAATAAGAAAATAGTTTGTTTTGGTGAACAATTCGAAAAACCGGAAGGACTTTTACGCGTTCAAATTTCTGCCGCACATCTGTCACAAATGCTGGAGACGGATAGCGCTTCCACGGTTCTCGCAACGTCGACACTTGGAACACTTTTTGACCTTTTGACTAGTTGCATTAACATCTCGGAATTCTTCTTCACTCGACTCTATCGATCGCTTTGTCCTGTTCTGCGAAATAGTACGTTTTCATTAGATTATTTCAATGTGTCGCCCGATCTTGACCGTCCCATCGCACCTCTTTCCTTGCGCCTCTGCCCGACATACTCGACAGTTCGTAAAATTGATTCCCTTTGAAAAAAGAATCTTTTCGCATGAAAAAGTGTACATTCTCTCTAGTAATGCACAACTGACATATTATGTTGGGAAAGAATGCATTCTCCGGGGAGGATTCCTTCAATTAAGAAAGAAAAACCATAACGAAATAATTAAAGGCAAAAGTCGGGCTCGTTTCGGATATTATGGCGCCTGAAACTGAGTGTAGAGATGCGAAGTGGAACGACAGTGAAGAAAAAACGAAAAAAACCTTGAAAGAGGACCAATATGGGACCCCCTGTCAAACAGCAACGAAGGAGGCGGGCGTAGCAGAGAGCAATGTCCGGACGAGTTATCCGGAGATTGGTGGAATCAAGCCAGCAATTGATAGGGGAATCAATACACCTTGATCAGCTGATATGTGATTTATTTTGTGTTCGCTTTGGCTTTATCTACTATTTGTTCACTTTCGGCTCGGGTAACCTGGTGGCTTGTGAGTGTAGGTTTTTCATTAATATGGTTATGATTTCATAGGTTGCGATGGACGTTGTTATCTAGAAGTCGAGCTTTGAGGTGTCCTATGATTTTAACGCACGCAAAAAAGTAATTAGTCAGCAACGATTCAGAGCGAATGTGTCCCGTCCCTCGCACATTGGCGCGGTACCCATAATGTGGATTTCCGCGATCAACGTCCTCAATCGCGAGACGACGTGTCCGAGTCCTAACATTTCAGAACCGTGCACCACTTCATCACTCCAATTACTCCTACTACTCCTGAAAAGAAAATGTGTGTTCTGTGTGTGTGTGTGTGAGTGTGTGTGTGTGAGTGTGTGAGTGTGTGTGTGGTGGGGGGGGGGAAGCGGGAACCGCTCCAGTTCTTTTCCCCCTGCATGCAAGGCCAGCGAAATGATACCTTGTTTATTGGAAACATCTTTTATATCCATCAAACATTTATTTCATTTATATCGTTGCATCCAGTACGGATTATCACCAGAAAGGAATGTGATACTGGGGACAATAGCTGGGATTTCTCGGCGAAGAGCTGTGACTGTAGCCAAACCGATTTCTTCGTGGCTGACCTGAGAAAAGACATGAATTTTCTACACTCGCTTGATACTGCTTTCCATCTTTACCCACCTTGTCGGACATTCCACACCAGGAGTGACCATGTTGAGTTTCAGCAAAGTACCCTCGAGGTAGAGGTGATGATCAGCCCAGGTCTTTTAGACGTAAGCCAACACTTGCTCAGTGACCTTGAAACAAAATTTTCAAGTGTCACTTCAAGGTCATTATGACTGCAGAAAAGGTATGAAAACGAGCAACTCACTGACCTGGCTACAACGTTGGCATTTCCGAATATTCCCAAGTGAGGAGTGTGAGGTCCAATGTTCAATTCAATACACGCTACTTTGCGAAACCACATCCTCACTGCAGAACAAATTTTCATAAATTCGTTCGTTCATTCATTCCTTTAATTACGGTGCTCAAGATAAATCAAACACAGCATACCTTCTTGAAACAGCGGCTCTCTGAGCGAAGTTGTCTAAGCCTTTGGGTGGTTGTTTCTCCGAGAGTTCCAGCCGGAGGAACGACACCGAGATCGGGTTTCATTCCAGGGACGACTCCTTGTTTGTTGAATAAATTCACCTACTTTTCTACTTCAGCAGTTGACTGAAAGATTCCACATAAGCATTAAACATACACCTGGCCGCCACAAGTAAAAAAATTGCAAAGCTTGCTCCTTTTTCTCTTCTAGCCCCCTCTTCAGGATCATTCTATAACAAGCATCGAAAGGCCAAGGGAAGAATAAGGCGTAGGAAGGAAATTGAAAGCTTTCATTCCCACTCCTGTCGGGCGCCCATCGCTTTAGAAGTTTCCGGATTTGTGGAGAAGGCGCTCGTGGAGTTAGGCTGGTGTCAGAGTCCGCGATCCGTCGCAGGTTCCGCTGATTTTCTAGATTTTCGCCACTCACGCGATTTTCGCGAAGACCTGCGACGGATCGCAAGGTGCCCCATGAACATTTGAAACACTGAATATGAAACAAGTGGAATCATGAGCAGTCGTCATTCAGCCATCACCATTAAGCAAGTGGCGGCGGGATTGGAGAACACCTTGCAGTATTGATCGGGCACTTGTGATTTCCGTGACCCGTCGCGTGAATCGCGTTAATCGATAAAATTGCGAAAACCAGCGAAACCTGCGACGGGTCGCGGACTCTGACACCAGCCTTAGAGATATAGAGGATTTTGAACGCTCACAAAGATATGACTATCCTACTTTTCCTTTCGCAATGCAAAACGTTACACCTTACCCAAAGAATCCCTCTCCCCTCCCCCACCCGAATGGCATTCTTTGCTCGGATGAACAACTGCGAAAAAAAACTAGAATTTCAAAACGTCAAAAACGTTGGTTTGAATCTGACCTGATTCTTTCCTGCGTTAGCGAACAGACGAGTAGGATCATCGTGTCTCTTTCTTTTGATTCTTGCATTGCAGTACATGCATATTTCTTCTTTCATCATTTTTTCATCTTTTTTCTCCCGATTCCTTTTTCTTCTGGGTTCTTGACCCTCTAAAGCTTCACTGACTGTACAGCGACTCGCTCTGATGCCATCTGCTCTGATGCCGTCTTTTTCTTTATTAACTTCTCTTATCGTCTTCAACTCGGCTTTGAGCTCCTCCATCTCGCCAGCTGCTTCTTCGAGGCGTTCTTTCAGATAGTGACTCCTTTTCCGCCTCTTTATTGCGATTTGATACATGTTGTTAAAATTCTTGATAAAACCTGAGCCGTCCAGTTTCGGTATCGTTGGTGACGTCGGAGTCGGTCGGTCCACCTCGCAGTAGGGTACCTATTTCCTCCTGCGCTTTATGAAGTCTATGATAGAGCGTCTCTATTTCCTCGGTCATTTCCTCGATCTCGGAGTGTTGGTGTTCCATTATATCAATTACTGGCTTGGTATAATTCTCTGGGATGAGACCACGTTGTCCAAGCGAATTCCTTGCAATGCACCATCCGGGGTATCCTTTTCCAACGATGCTGAGGTAGTCACCTTTTTTAAATGATAACTCTTCTGACAGTTCCGCTTGAAATCCCATAGGGCCAATACCAGCCGAATGACCAGCATCGATTTCCGATTCATTATCCATACTCTCTTCAACTTCATGGACCGTTTCAGACATCTCTGCGTTATACTCGCTCCCAGCGTTCACCGTCCTTACGTCATGGCCCGTTGTTTGATCCTCTGAAATATAATAAATGGCATTCGATATCATTCGTTCGTGGCGAGCGGTGGCTCTATCACTGTCTGCTGAGCCAATCAATTATCACCGGCCTCTTACCTATCTGGTTGAAGTGTGGAAGTCGTTCGTCAATAGATACGGTTACCCTTGTGGCTGGGGTGTTATATCGTCAGAAAATAGCCACCGTTGTAGGTCTATTTTTCCAAAGTTATCAATACATTTGTCGATTTCACAACATTTGCTCTGCCAGCGTTGTAAAGCAGGTGTCCACTGTCAAGTCCTGCCACTTTCAAAAAGGGCCCACTGTCACGTGATACTGTTCGAAAGTAGCGGGCTTCCTTTGAACGTTGGGTCCCACCACTACTGAGTCGCTGGTACGTCGTTGGACTCGCTGGCGCAACGCTCAGACCGAGCGATTCGCTAGCGAATCGTTCGATTCGGAAACTATGACATCGGCCTTAGCGAGATAGCGCAAACTCGCACATTCCAACTTTTCAGGCATGCCAAGTGACTCCCCCATGTCCGCCCCACCTCTAAACTGCCTACACTCTTCCCTCGCCCAGACTCTTCGCCTCACAGTGAAGAACGCGAACATACAGCACGTCGCGGCGGCGACTGACCTCTCACCGGGTGTGCAGGGCAGGGTCAAGCGTGCGTTGAGGAATCCTCGACATGTCACAGGGGGGGGGGGGGTCGTATTGGCCCGCTGGGGAAGAGATCGGGCCCGATTGATACAGTAGGATCATCGTCGGAGGACAAACATTCAAGGATCGAATCGATACCAGGCCAGAGTATTTCCAATAACAATTGATTCCGTCCACACAAAATCTTCGTGATTTAGAGGTGTCCGCTTAGCAATTCTTAGTTACTTCAGTGTTTTATCACCACACAAGTTAAAGAATCCGAAATTCGCACGTTTTCCAAGGGATATTTTCTTTCAAGTGAGTCCTCAAATCCGAAGGGATGTGAAGCACACGGCGCATCCCAGAGTGGGCCCAGTTGGTTGCGCGCGCTTCAGCTACGGCTCTCTGAGAAAGAATCTCAATTCAGGAAGAATCAAGAGGATTCTGAAAGGGTTCATGTGAAATTACAGAGAGGAGTACACTATTCAACAAGAAACGCAGCCTTCAGCGTCAAATTCACAAGCATGTAACCTTTAAAGTTGAGACCCGCTAAACAATTTTACACTTTTGGAAAGAGAAAAGCACGAGGATTTCGAATCTGCTCCTACTTTAGTATGTAATCGCCCTGAAAGGAGCTATAGTCGTTGGAATAGTGCTAATGTAGCGAAAAAGTACCTTTCGGCGGTACTCGGGCAAAAATCCTCAACGTGGCCATTTTTTAAATAGTGAACGTATTTAGCAGTTTTAATGCCTTAGAAAGAGCAAATCTTCTAGTTTATGATGACGTATTAACTTTCCAGATTGGATGAGTTTGAACGGAGTTATGGCTTTGGAAAGCGTAAAAACTCGCACTCATCACGAATTTTCCTCGTTAATTTTGCAAAAATCCTCAACGTGGCCATTTTTTGAGTACTGGACGTATGAAGCTGCTTTAGCAACCGTTTGATAGAGAAAATCTTCTAGTTTTGTATGACGTATTAACTTTTGAATTTGACGAAATGAAGCAAGTTATGGCTTCGGAAAGTGTAAAAACTCGTGCTGCTCTCGAATTTTTCCTCGTTAATTGATCTAAATTTGTTATTTCTATAAATTTTTGTAATTTCAGTACTGATTAGAAAGAGCTCTTCACAAAACTCCCAAATCTGCTTTCAGATTGAAAATTCGTCATATTTGAAGAAAGTTATAATCATTTGAATATTTGTTCAAATTTCAATAGTAGATAAGCTGCTCCACGGTCAACGCCAAAGATCAGTCAACACACAGCTGGCTAAGGCGGTTACAAGGCTTCTTTCAACTGAAGGGGGACGTGTAAATTGAGAACCATACTCTGTGTAGTACTAGAATTTGGTAAGTCTTGTGGAAGGAAATAAATAAAGAAGAGATGTTGTCATAGCTATTCTTAATGACTATTCTTTGACTTTTTCACTTTTGTACTTCTTAAACGAATTTTTGGTGGACGGTGGGGTAGCAGGGCTTTTTTATGAACAGTTTTGGGGAGAATTAAACAACCTTTTCATAGTTCGGCTTTTGAAGAGGGTCGTTTCATGGACTTCGGCCTTCGGCGGAGGGAGGGGGGGGTCGTATTTCCAAATTTTCCTCGACGCCTCGCTTGACCCTGATTGGTAAATCGCTAGATAATAGAAGCCTGCGCTTTTCATGCAGGCCACGCCCGTAGGAGTAAAATAGGTAGATACGTAGCATTTGAATGAGAGTGCATAGCGCTGTTCCAAGTGAGCAGGTCGTATTCAGGGACCCAATCTTTAAAATCACTCCAAGATTATTTATTTTTTTCCTCAATCACAGCACATCCCTATGTGTTCTGTATGAAGGTGTGCAGTTTTTGAAAATTTGTAGGCAGAAATTTCGTCATAACCTCTTCAGAACAAAAATTTTGTTGCAACACCACAAAACCCTTAAAAATTCCACAAATCGATGCAATTTGTTGTTGTTGAATATATTGCAATGATCTTTCAAAAAACCCTCGGTACCTGTTGTTCTCCTGTACGGCAATCGATCTATGAAACGATGCACGCTGCGCCGGTGGCGTTATACATAGATGACTGTAGAGGGATCCCATGTTTTCGGCTGAAAAAGCGTAATCGATGTTTTCGGTTAAACGAACTTCATGTGCCGCCATTTTTTGGCACCCACCCGATGTGTTCGGACGCTTGCAGAGGCACTCGCATCTTATAGGCTTTTAACACAGCTTTACGCCAATCTGGTTCCTCTTTGAGAATAGGACGTAGGATTACCATTAGCTTCTCACAGCACGCCTGAAAGAGATTAAATTTATACTTCGAATTTATATCATTTAGGGTAACGAAATGGTGGGCTGACCATAATCGCTCGTCCATGAACGTCTGCACCTTGAGTTCCTCCATTCTGTTGTTGGTTATATTTTTTATCTGTGCTCGCATCAGTTACCGTTATAAAGGAGGTAGGAATCTAAAGATAATTGAGTGCAATTATAGCTAGCAGTACCACATAGCTACAAGCAATTAGAACCTTACTGGCCCTTCTCCGTAGTACCAGTATCACTTACTCTATTTTTCATATATTATTATTAGCTTACTCGCAATGCACGACTGGCAACATGTTGACACTTTGTGATCAGTTCACGTTCCATCTCAACTCCTCCAATTGTGACTGCAACGCTTCCATCTTTAGAAACCTGCACGAGAGCTACAGCCTGGAAGGTATCGTGAAAGCAGTATTCTAGTGAGAGCAACCAAAGAGCAATAATCCACCACTACTGAGCTCCTACCTGTTCGTTAGGTCCAGGAGACGCTAAACCCATCCGGGTTGCACTCACAGCTATTCCTCGTTTTATGTGATTCGAGGTTCTAAAACAGAGCATGAAGCATAAGAGTATGAGTTTGGAGCATCCAGCCCTGGTTTACTCCTATTTGGGCAGTGCTACGCCTTCTGTTATAGTTTGTTTACAACGCTGGTGCCATTTGAATAAGAAATGACAAATGCAAGGCTTCCCTGGAGCAATCTACAAATCATTGTTTATCCTGCCAGACGAGTCGGGTTTAGCCTTCGAGGCGCAGCAATGAGTGCTTACTACTACTCCGCTAAAGATAGAGTGAAGACTATCCGATATCGCTGATTCACCGGCCTTATTCTTGTGCATTTATCTTGGCACTATTCAACTATTACGACCCCAAAAACTCAAAATTTTATTTTTCGTCGAAACTTCGCCTATAGGGGTAATTCGGTGCCCTGATTACGAAAATGAGGTTCATTTTTGGCGCTGGCGCCATTTGGCGCCAATTTGGCGCCAAGGGTGTTTTCACCAAATTCGCTGTAAACTTGCACATAGGGGTTATTTGGGGTCCTGATTACGGATATGACATTCGTTTTTAGCATTTCCACCGTTCAACGCACATTTTCCATTCTCCTGGGTCCTCTCACTTGTACATAATACCTAGGACTGAGCCTAGAAGGAGGGAGGACTCCGGGGTGGGTGAACCAGTCAACATGTGGCAAACGTTAAAGCGTATAAGATCACAGGATAAGTGTTATTCACTTCGGAGCACTCTCCTCCTCAAAGGCTTAGTCCCGATCGCGAGGTGATCAGTGAGAGGGCGCAGACGAGCGGAAAACAGGCGCGCACAGGCGCTGGAAAAATGAATGTTATATTCGTGATCAGGACCCCAAATAACCCCTATGTGCAAGTTTACAGCGAATTTGGTGAAAACACCCTTGGCGCCAAATGGCGCCAGCGCCAAAAATGAACCTCATTTTCGTGATCAGGGCACCGAATTACCCCTATAGGCGAAGTTTCGACGAAAAATAAAATTTTGAGTTTTTGGGGTCGTAATAGTTGAATAGTGCCTTTATCTTTATTGAGCCAAGCGTTACAAAGCACTAACTTGTTGAAACGGTCGACTTCTTCGCGCAGCTCGTCGAAATCACTCCACTTCAAGCACTCTTCCCAGCACTCCAAAAGGGCGTCGTTGAGAATCGGTTCCTTCCGATGGTCGTATTCCTCCGTTTTTATTGAACTTCATTTTCATTATCTGAATGGTGAGTGTCGTTCGAAAGGAGAGTAGGAAGATTGCAGTGATCGCACATAGGCATGAAACAAAGCACAAGGAGCGAGGATCGCCTGCGATTGGCAGACTGATGACGACAGCCAATCACAGACGGTCTTCGGAGACGACTTAAACAAATTACTCTTTTTCAGCCTGTGTCAAATCTTGCGTATCGTGAATCGCGGGATATAAGCGTTTCACCACGAATCGAGCTGTGTACCAGCAGATCGAACGGAGTACTCCCTCTCGTTTGCTCTTTGACCCTCGCCACTTTCCCGAGCTCTCATGCCTTCTCGCTCTCTCATGGCCTCGTGAGCCCGGGAGAGTGGCGGCTGCCGAGGTTCGGAAGGAGTCCTGCCACCCTCGAACAGTGTCGAGTCGATGTTACATCCTTTGAACCGCTGTTACACAGCTCGATTTGCTGGTGCAACGCTCACATCAGTAGCGAGTGACTTAATTGAAGTCTGACACTGGCTTTAGCATCATACGCTGATGGTAAATCTGAAGCTAGGCGAATGACCTGGAGTGGAGTGATTCTATTCGTATTCGTACACACTTGAATGTTACCTTTTCGAGAGGTTTATTCACAGCGTGTGCGACGTGACACAGGATACCATTCATTGCGAAGTAAGCCTGAGGCAAACCGCAGCCCCTGAAAGTAATGGAAGAAGTTTTGTTCATTTGAAAATGGTAATGGGTTCAAAGTACAATGTCGTTGCGCGATGTCACGTCAACTTTTAGGATAAATTTGCGCACCAAGTGAAGACGGAATGTCTCGCTGATGCTACCGGGAGCAAATGCTAGCCCGAGGGAAGGCCGTGCTTGCACCGCACACCCTCCCCGGCTTGAAACTGATTCCGAAGTGCCGGCATTGTGGTCCCTCAGCGAAAAAATCTGCACTCGAACTGCGCGCGCATACATTCCGCGACAGCCTCAGTGGCGGGGCGCGACATCGCGCGATGACCTGTTGGTACACAACCCACTGTACATGAATATTCTGTTATTGTCCTCAATAAGTCCTCAATATCGACTTTGAAAGCTACCTTACGAAAGTGTTGTTCGACTTATTCGTTTTCAATGCGTATCCTTCAGCTCTCATTACTGGAATGCTATAACATGTATCGGACAAGCCAGTTGACATGTAGGTAACCTGAATCGAGGAGCATATAATTAGTATAGCAGTAATTACAGTAACTATAAAAGAAAGGGGGGTACCCATAGAAGGAATATTCTTTTTGAAATTCAGCCACATGCATTTTGTGGATTCAGGCGCACGCAGCGCGGGAGGAACTGCCTATGATTGTCCATCGCCAGCAGTCGACCAATCACAGGCGTAGTGGTCAAATTCTCTGCGTTTCCAAAACGACTGTCGCAGCTAGTAGAACAGAGAGTGACTCTGTATGTTGTAAGCTGTCCTAGAGAAGTGGCCGGACTTGTGACTTGAATAAGCCTCGCATGACTTGAAATACATGCACAAGTTTTGGGACACTCGTGGTAGCAACATTATCCTCACCACATTTGATGCATCGATAGCATAATCTCCGTCGAGATACACTTTGAGATACGCGCAACGTAGCAAACCAGTCACATCGATGCCAACTCTAAATATCTCTAAGTACGTATGCGATTTGTAGAACTCAATCATTCGATCACTTTAGCTTCAAATTACAACTTCGAACCGTTATATCTTCCGCAGTCTCGTACTAATCACTCTCAAAACTAACCTGTACTTTACCATGGCTGGGTGACGTTTCCCAGTGATAAGCATATCTTCGGCCCTCTTTAGAACAACCTTGACTGGGCGGTTCAGCACTCGTGCTGCAAGTGCAGCCCAAGCTCCAGCTGGCGCACTTTGAGTGTATTTACCACCAAATGCACCGCCAACGCGTTCCACCTAAAGGGTATGTTGTAGAAAGAGAAAATGAGTAAACGATGCCTCAAAAAAGACCTTAAAAAATAACGACTACTATTAGTCACAAAGTGGAGTCACAAGTCACAGCTGGCTAAGGCGGTTACAAGCTTCTTTCAACTGAAAGGGGACGTGTAAATTGAGAACCACAATCTGTGTAGTACTAGAATTTGGTAAGTCTTGTGGAAGGAAATAAATAAAGAAGAGATGTTGTCATAGTATGCCATTTTTAGTGACTAGTTTGTCGTTTTTTGCTCTGTTTCTCGTTTGCTCGTTTGGTAGGACTCATCAATAATGATCATTCTTTGACTTTTTCACTTTTGTACTTCTTAAACGAATTTTTCCGTGGAACGGTGGGTAGCAGCGCTTTTTTATGGCGAGTCGAACGATGTACCAGCGAGTCGAACTAGGTACCAGCGACTCAATAGTGGCGGGACCCAACGTTCAAAGGAAGCCCGCCACTTTCAAACAGTGTCACGTGACAGTGGACGCTGTTTGAAAGTGGCGGGACTTGACAGTGGACACTGTTTGAAAGTGGCGGGCTTCCTTTGAACGTTGGGTCCCGCCACTATTGAGTCGCTGGTACCTAGTTCGACTCGCTGGTGCAACGTTCGATTCGCTGGCGCAACGCTCGGATCCAGCGATTCGCTAGCGAATCGCTCGATTCGCAAACTATGACATCGGCCTGAACGTTTTTCGCTGCGAGATCCTCAGAACCAACGCTGATCATGAGTGGACCTAATGGTCCCACAGTGAAAAATGTTTCGCGCTGTGAAATGCGAAAAAGTCGTTCCCTGTTCTATGGAACCATACCCCCTCTCACCCCCCCCCACGAAAACAACGTCGTGACAAGGTGGCGCCAACTGGCGCCAGATGGCGCCAGCGTCAAAAATGAATGTCATTTCGTAATCAGGGCATCGAATTACCCCTATAGGCAAAGTTTCGACGAAAAATAAAATTTTGAGATTTTGGGGTTGTAATAGTTGAATAGTGCCCTACACGGGAAAAAACGGCGGACGAGTTTTTCGCGCTAGAACAGTTTGAATTCTAGGCTAACAGTGCATTTCGTTGTGGGACCAAGGCCTAGTCCCTTCAATGCCAATCGATCATCGGGGATCGTCCACCTGAATTTGAATGCGGAAGACCAAAATTATTATTACAAATGAAGAGCACTAGTTGCGTGGTACGATACTTCAGTTTTGGGAATGTAATTCTGTTGCAAATGATTCCCACAATTTCGTTACCTGGGATCAAGCTACTTTGACAGCTTGTGGTACGGATTTGCACTGTATAAGTTCAAGTACGGTATAGCTGGGTATGATTAGTGTAAAGGATGTGATCGTTTATACATGCGCTAGCATTACTAATAGCAATACTTACGTCCCTGACTTACATAGAGTCCTTCTGAATTCTAGCCATTTACAATATCGCGACACAGATGGTAAGCAGTTGCTCTGTTAGTATGACGAACTTTCATCATCGATATTTATCATGCGATAAGAATCTTTCACTGCAGTAATGACATGAAACCAAGAAATGAATGTGAACGCAATCCCAAGAGGAGTGTCCCTTAGGACTAAGCAAAGGAGTGGTAGGAATTTCAGGGAAAATGAGACTTGCTCACTGTTAAATGTTTAACGCGGTTTTGAGTGCACTGCCAACGCCCCGTCGCTTGCGTAGGTCCTAAAATGCTTAGTGTTGCTTGGAAAGAGATCGCAGTTTTGCAGTAATGAATCACGATACGAGCTATCCGTGTCTTGATTATGTCCTCAAGAGCGACTTCTTAGTTTAAGTAATAGTCGTAGAAGTCACTACCGATTACCTATACATGCCAACTCTAACTTGGTATTGTGGAGTATCGTAATGTGTTGACACACAAGAAATCTTCAGTCTTCTGTTCTCGAAGGAAATGGAAAATGTGTTCGACAGGGGGAATTTCTTGGCGGCTCACGGATTTATGCAATTGCTACGGCGGACTTGACTTTTCCTTCCAGCTGGGGACTCCGCTCATTCTGTGCACAAACTCTGAAGTATGATCCCCGATCGATTGGTATTGAAAGGACAGTACGCTTTGTCACAACGAAATGCACTGTTCGTCTAGAATTCAAACAGTGGTGCGCGAAAAACTCGTCCGGAAACTCGTCCGCCGTTTTTTCCCGTGTAAGTTTAGCGGCGAGTTGGAGAAATGCAGCACAGAACAGACAGACAGAATTCCTTGGTGCTCGCGTAGTTGAGGGGTCAACTACGCTAGCACCAAGGAATTTTAATTTCATGGAAGTGGATCCGTCCCGGAGCTTCTTCCTCCTTGACGC